ATGATGCACAGTCTGTTACGGCAGTGATAACACCTAAAAGTTCTAACTTAGTCGGGCCGTATGATTTCTGCCATTTGTTGAGACCTTTCGATCCGAATCTAATAACATGGGGTGTGTCATCGTCATCATAAAGTTGATATAACATATATCCTATCCCTTTGCTGGAAGTATCCACCGCAATATGAAAGGGAATTTCAAATCTGGGGAATGATGGCACATCAGAGTTTACGAGAGCATCCTTTAATGTCTGAAATGCAACTGTATGTGACTGTGTCCAAATAAATTTCACATTTTTCTTTAACAGGGCATGAAGGGGGGATGCTATTATACTGTAGTTTGGTATATACTTTCTAAACCAGTTGAGCATTCCAAGGGCACAACGCAACTCCTTTGCAGATGTTGGGATGGGAAAGTTTTTGATACTGGCAACTCGATCTGAAGGAGGGCGAATCCCATCTTTTGAAATTTCATGTCCAAGAAATATTGCTTTGTCAGTTGCAAAGGTACACTTTTTAGGATTGAGTTTTAAACCTGATGATTCTAACCTAATCATGACTTCACTAATGTCCTTTAAATGTTGTTCAAAACTGTCAGACACAATAACAACATCATCCATATAACATAACACAGATTTAAAAGTCAAACCTTTCAAAACTTTGTCCATAAGTAACTGAAAACTGTTAGGAGCTGTCTTGAGACCCATAGGCAATCTAGTGAATTTATATGTGCCATAACATGTGTTAAATGCAGTTAAATTGGACGATTCTTTAGATATGCCCATTTGAAAAAAACCTGAGCTCGATCCCGTACGAAACAGTCCGGGCGGCTTAGACACGGCTCAGGCACGGTTTCCGTCTCCAGAAACCCGTGCTTTAGCATTCCGTGCCCCTATGTAAAGTATATATGTATGGAAAGCCGTGCCTAAAAGTAGTCGAGGCACGGACACGGCACGGGATATTGGCCGAATTATTTAAATGAGATCACACGGTTTTACAAAACCCGTGTCAGAAAGCCGTGCTAGTTTCCATATATGGACTCACGGATTCTGTAAACCCGTGTCTGAAACCCGTGTCCTTTTCCATATATGGAGACACGGTTTTTTGGAAACCTGTGTCAAAAAAGCAGTGCCCTATACCATATAAGGAGTCACGGGATCTGTGCATTTGTTTAGATCTAGGTCATAGCCTTTAGAGAATCTCCTGATGTACATTTGGATGCCAAAATGGTGACTGAAACCAAACTAACTTCACATTGCTTTACATTAATGCTTAGTTTTAGAATTTCAAAAGTTACAAATCTTTTTAATGTGTCCATTTACTTTCTGTTAAAGATTAATTTTATCAGTTACAATCCATGCTAGTTTTTAATTAAGATTTTAATGATAATGTACAATATTCAATTGTAATTTAATCTAGTAGCTAAGTTTGCACAATCTAAGAAAGAATTTAGTTTAAATAAAACTTTCACTAGCACAGTGATGTCACATAAATTATATACTATAGAAAGGATTAGTGAAAGTCCAACTAAAGTCATTCAAATAAACCTAATAAAACTATTTCATCATGTTCATTGTCAACAACACAATACAGGAAGATCATGAAAATTGAAAAATTTACTTATTTATTCTAGATTACACTTACTGCATTCAGTTCAAAAGTGAAGATATTATCCCAGACTGACATAAATACAATTCCAACTGACATCTATTAGTAAAATATCCTTTAAATAGAGCAAAAAGACACATTGACTTAGCTCATGACCATGAATCCCTCCAATTTAATATTCAAATAAAGGAAGTTATGATTGAGCATGCTCAGTGAAAAGCCGTGAGATATAAATAAATAGTTTTAAGCAAAACCCGCCTGAGTTAAAAACCTTCTCCCTAGAACACGGATTCCGTGCCTCCACACGGGTTTCTGTGAGTGAGGATTCCTCACTTTCAGACACGGAAGCCGTGTCCGTGTCTTGGACAAGCAGAACCCGTGCGGCTTTTTAAAAAACCCGTGCGGATTCCGTGTCTTAGCCGTGCCCAAGCCGTGCCTATTCCGTCTCGAACTTTCGTACGGGATCATGTCTATAGTTGAAATAAAATTGGGTGTGGTTTGACTAAATGACTCTGTGAGCTCTTGTACATCAGGTATATTGTATGCAAAATCAAGAGTTTGTGAGTTCAAATATCTAAAATCACAACAAAATCTGTATGATGTAAGGTGAGCCTCTTTACCCTGGGCAACATGAGATCCATTGGATTTGCGCTTAGCGACCAAAAGAATGGGGCTAGTAATAGGCAAATTATCTGTTTCACTAACAGGGGCAATAACTCCTTGGGAGAGGAGTTCATCTAACTGAGTACGTAAAACCTCTCTCTTGTGAGGGGGTAGACGGTAAGGTCTCTGATACTTGGGAACAAAATTTGGTTTCAAATGTATCTCATGCTGTACAAGGTTTGTAAAACCAAGCTTGGGATTTTCTTTAGTCACAAATACATTCTTGTGTGCATATAAACATTTCTCAAGTTTCACAATCTGTTCATTTGTAAGTGCATGTGCACCAGAAAAATCAAAATTCGCACAAAAAGCACCAAAATCATCTGATTTCAGACAATCTGTCTCACCCTGACTGACATTCTTAATATTATTACACACAGGTAATTGCACAATGTCATATGAGGAATCTAATACAGCAAAATCAGCCAACACCATACCTTTAGGTATAAAAACAGAGTCATTTCCAGGATTCATGATTTTGAAAGGAATAGTTTTACTTGCAGATATGGTATTCACTGATCTAGCCAATAACAAACCTCTTCTCAAAACATTCACATGAGCAGATAATAAACCCTGCACACCATACAATGACTGTTTTGGTACTTTACCATATACAATAAGCTCTGTATTAAATTAGGTTCAACAGTAACAGGTTTCATACACCTAACTTTCACTTTAGATTTCATATAACCATTCAACAAGTTATTGTGTGCACCAAAATCTAAAACAATACCCTTCTCTAACATGTAATCTGTTCCAATGATAAAAGGGTGTGAGGTACATTCAAAAATATACACAGTTAACCAATGTGTACCATGAGGTGTTTGACCTTTAACCTTAGCAATGCCTAAAACCTTAACATTCTGATTGTCAGCTACTATTACAGAAATATTACATGGTTGTAAAGGTTGCTTAGCAGAAACAGGTAGCCTATCATATAATGACATTGACATGACAGATATACATGAGCCAGAATCTAATAATGCTGCTACATGAACAGTTTTAAATTTCACTGGCAAATACATAAATTTAGTGGTGTTTGAGTCATGTATGTCTGGAAAATCATCAGACGAGCTCATAGCGTCACTGGAAGTAGGCACATCTGTCGCTACACACGGATAGTCACACAAATGAATACCGTCACTACTCACAGGCGCGGTTGCGGCTACACGCGAGTCACACAATGGAAATGCACTGCTAAAATGCGAACTCATAGCGTCACTGAAAGTAGGCACATCTGTCGCTACACACGGATAGTCACACAAATGAATACTGTCACTACTCACAGGCGCGGTTGCAGCTACACGCGAGTCACACAATAAAGAAACACCACTTAAATATGATGCGGTATTCAATGTCGCACACCTCTGCTGATAGAGTCTCTCTCTCCATGGTGTAGGTGAAGGGCTACGATGTCGAGATCCTAGTGTCTTCCCGAGGGAGCGCCCTGTTGATCTCGCCTCGGGGCTCTGGGGTTTTCCGGCTTCGCAAACATGCAGGAAAGAGCATTATGGCCAAACTGGGAACAATATGGACACTGTGAAGTGGGGCTGGATACACCATCTGCCTTCAGAGCACAGGCACGTTGCACGTGACCAATTCCACCACATCGGAAACAAGACTTAGAGTGCAGTTGGGGCGCAGATGCGGTATGCTGAGGCAGCTGTCGTCCATTTGAGTCTGGAGCTGCCAGCTGTTGGACTGCAGTGGATAGTCGTGATAACTCCTGCACAACAAAGTTCATATCAGGAGAATGAGATGGAGGCTTTGTGTTCATGGCTGCTGTAGTAGGTTGAGACTGGCGGTAGCCAAAAGCTTCCCCTGTTTTGGCAGCAGTTAGAGTGTCGGCAAAAGTAGAACATCGTCCGGCACGGACATAGAAAGCAAGCTGCTGCGGTAAACCCTCAACAAATTTGTTCATTAAGTCTCTTTCTGGTTTTCCAAGTTTGCGTCCTTTCTCCAATATGACACTATAAAAGTCCTCCAGAGGTTGTGCAGGAGACAAACGAAGAGAATCAAACATGGCAGACTCCATAATCAGTGTCGGATCCAACGGTGATTGGCTTGTGTAGGTTCTCTGGAACTCACTCTCAATGGCACGCCAAGATTTCCTGATGAAATCTGGAATCTGACCAAACCACACCAACGCCGGGCCCTGAAGATGCAAATGAAAAGCTGCAATCTTTCGAGGTTCGTTAGCATCCATGTCGTGAAACACACAGTACGACATAAACTCGTCAAGGAATTTTGCCGCGTCCTCGTGCGAGTACCCACTGAACTTCTTTAGTGACAGTTTGTCCATTGGAGTTATGACTGTACGGGTGACCGGAGTAGACGATCTCAACGGTCTGTGTATTGTCCAAGGCGGACTTTCATCTCCTATGTACTTGCCTTCTGATGGTGCCGTGTCGCACCATTTGTCGTCTGCGCGCCAACTCTCCTGCCTCTGTCCTACGGGGGTCAGCACTGGCATGTGAACATCAGATGAATTGGGGAATCCGCTCATACCATCAAACAGGGCGTTGCTTGGAATCGAATTGGCATTCTCCACCATGTTGTAACGTTGACTCCATTACAATCTACATAAATGAGTTATAATGAACGCCAACTTCAAAAGCGTGCCATCTTTTTATTGAAACGTAAAACTAAATCACAAAACCCGGTCTTTTCCCGGAATAACATGCAAAGTAACATTTGACTCTACCATGATATACATTCCGGATTGCCCTCTCGATGAGAGTCACTGGAGCGTCACCGCAGATGTCCGCTATTCATGATTGCTTGCGGTCAATTACCGGTAAACTGGACAATATCAATGTTCTACAGCAATCAGTAAATAATATGAATCGGGATCTATGGGATGAGGATGGGTTAGATGAGCGCATCAAATACATCGGTCAACAACATGAAGATAATGTTGGAGAAATTGAAGCGCTGAAATTAGAAAACAATTATTTGCGAAAAGAACTCCAACTTTTAAAGTCAATCGTTGTTAACTTAGATAGAAGAGTCAGTCAGCAAGAGAATGAAATAGTGGACCTCAGAGGGAGATCGATGAGGGACAATATTCTTGTACATAACTTAGCTGAGGATGACCAGGAAAATTTGAACACTAGAGTTAGCGAGTTGATCAAGGAGCATTTGAATTTGGAAGTTGGTTTCATCAGGATACAGTCATACACCGAAACGGTCAGAAATTCCCTGGCAACCCGAAACCAAGGACAATAACAGGGAAATTACAGAACTACAATGATAAAGAACTCATCTTCCAAGCTATTCGTCAAAAGAAGGAAAATGGCACCGCTAAGGACATGCCCTTCTATATCACTCCACAGACGCCTCTGCAAATAAATGAAGGTAAAAAGAAACTGCAGGAGATGAACAATAAATATCGAGAAGAAAACGTCAAAACAAAGATAGTGGGAAACAAGTTAGTCTTTCCAAACGGAAGCGTGTACCGGGACAAGGTGCTACCACCACGTGCTGAGGATATACTCATGTTGGACAAGGATGAAATCGAAAAACTGGATGAATGCGATGTAAGGAAGTGCAAAAGCGTAACAGAAGATGGGAACATCTTTACTTCATTAATCGCCGAAATTCACACATATGCACATGCTAGGAACGTTTACAAAAATATTCTACGCAACCCGGACTATGCCTGTGCCAACCATAATATCCTTGTATACCGATTCAAAGATGCCCAAGGGCGAGTGCATGACGGCTATTGCGACAATGGGGAATACGGGGCCAGACGTCGACTACTTAAGGTACTGGTTGAGAGAGAAGTATCGAATGTAGCAATTGTCATTTCGAGGAAGAATGGTAAACATTTAGGTCCCCGTCGGTTTGACATTATGAAGGATCTGGTAAACAAAGCCGTCAGCCACACTTGTTATTAAGAATTTTAATAGATGAACACTTACAATAAACACTGTCACTGTGTTACATGCAAAAGTAATTTTTGTTAAAATTTCCAATTCATAAGTACAATTACATGTACGGTCTAATAGTATTTCTAAGTTTGAATATTTTTATACTTGGTTAGTTCTTTCCGGAAAAATATTAGTTACACAGACTGACTCATAAACAGTGTCAGTCCATACATGTTAACCTATTGTGATGAAAAATAGGGAGATTCAGACCTCAAAAGCGGTAGCATTGCGCGTGTTGTTTAACGCTAGGATTATCGGTATCTTTCATGTAATATACATGTATATTATAAGCCTTAAATGAAATCAGGTACCTACACTAATTAATCTTAAATATCAACAGCAAAGAAGAAGACAGAAACACCTTAAGTTTGATATAAATTGTACTAATTCAAATATTTTTCATGCTCATCATTTTGCTTGGATTGGCTCTCTACTTAGCCTTTTGAAGAGTGATCTTTGCTGATATAGCCTAGAAGCAATAATTCTGAATGTTCATTCAGTTTTTAAACAAAACAAATGATGACATGGTTTAATCTAGATCTAAAACAGGTTCATATCTTTCGTTATATAAATCAGATTTCCCGCGATGATCGAAAACGAAAGTAGAGATGTGCCACATGGCTTGGTCAATCGAGTGATTTCTATGGACTTTATTGATAAAGTTGTGAGCTTCTGTGCTTTTAAAGACGATGTCAAATGTTTTCATCTAATTCTTAAAAGCTGTATCTCCTTTTTCATGGCAGGGATGTTGATTAATTTATCGTAACCAATGTAATCACTGGTAGTCTTGTGTTGTTGTCGTTGTCAAACCTGTGCTTGAAATCTATGTACAAAAAAAGCGTTTGTATGATTCCGAGTCAAATCACGCGATATATAGCGAGATTTTATGAGAGTGGCTTCAAAAATGGACACCCAAGCGAACCAAATATAATTTAGACACAGCTTTTGTAGAAAAGCGGTAGATTTCTGAATTAAATCGGTAGGCGGGAGATGGAGTGAAAAAGCGGTAGACTCCCGCCTAAATCGGGAGAGTTAACATGTATCTATTTAGCAATTTTTATTTCCGATTGTACTTGTTTTGGGACTACTTAGAAGTTTTGTAAACATGGTAAATGCAGATTGACAAATTTCCTTTCTCCATCAGTAAATACGATCAATAGACTGATGCCAATTAGTTTCATTCACCTTGTTTGTAAATGTGCACCTTATCTCTCTTTCACGTTTCTATCCCCCTTTTCCTATCTTTCCTTTACATTGGGCATTCATTCGATTCTTTATTGATGTTTCTGTACGATTACGGTAAAAGATAATAATCTAAATATACTTACAGTTAACTGCCAGGGTCTTGGAGATAAAAATAAAAGATTAGATGTTTTTAATACTTTAAGAAAAAAGAACTATAATGTTTATTTTCTGCAAGACACACACTTCGTTAAAAGTGACGAAAAATTTATCCAAACACAGTGGGGCTATCGGGCATTTTTCAGTTCGTATAAGTCTAATTCGTGTGGTGTTGCTATTCTTTTTAATAATAATTGCGAAATAGATATCCACAAACATTTAAGCGATGAAAATGGAAATTACATAATAATAGACTGTACTATTGAGGGTATGAACTTTATACTTGTAAATATTTATAGGCCAAATTCTGATACACCGGTTTTCTATTCTAATTTGATGAATGAGATTGAAAAAATCTACATGTTGCAACAAATAATCATAGCAGGCGATTTTAACTTAGTTTTAGATAAGGAATTAGATTCCATGAACTATAAAAATTTGAACAATCCAAAAGCGAGACTGGAAGTTATAAATTTAATGGAAAATTTGAATCTAAAAGATATATTTCGTGAAAACTACGCTCAAGTTAGGCGCTATTTGTGGACAAAAAAGACACCCTTAAAACAGGCTAGACTAGACTTTTTTCTTATATCTGAATCCTTGCTCCCTTCTGTTAGTAGTGTTCAATATGAAAACAGTTACAGATCCGACCATTCTCCAGTTGTGATGTCTTTGAAAATTAATGACTTTATTAAAGGTAAAGGATTTTGGAAATTTAACAATTCTCTTTTAACAGATAAGGCTTATATTGATTCAATTAAACAAAAAATCAATGACGTAAAAGTTCAGTATGCATGCCCAGTGTATGACTTAGATAATCTTTGTTCTGTCGATAATGAATTATTGTTGTTCACTGTTAGTGACCAATGTTTCCTAGATATTTTACTCATGGAAATTAGAGGAAAGACTATATCTTACTCAAGTTATAAGAAAAAAAAGATGCATGAAAGAGAATTATTTTTAGAAAATGAGATTTTACATTTAGAACAAAATCTGACAGAAAGTACATTAGATACCCTTAAAATGAAACAAACAGAACTTGAAGATATACATAAGACAAAGTTAAAGGGACAGGTTATTCGTTCTAGAATGAAATGGATTGATGAAGGTGAAAAACCATCAAAATATTTTAGTTAACTTGAATCTAGAAATTATTTAAGTAAACTGATACCAAGATTAGAAAAAGAAAATGGATCTATTATTTCAGATCAATACGATATTTTAAATGAAACAAAACTTTTTTATGAAAATCTATATAAAAAAAGAGAAGTTGTTGAAAATGAAAACTACAGCAAAAAATTGTCAGAATATAATGATATCCCAAAGCTGTCTTTTGAAGAAGCTCTAAGTATAGAGGGTCCTATAACAAAATCAGAGGTTCTAAACTTTCTTAAACAGATGAAAAATGATAAAAGCCCAGGTCCAGAGGGATTCACATGTGAATTTTTTAAATTTTTTTGGAGGGATATTGGCACATTTATTACAAGAGCAATCAATGACTCATACTTAAAACAAACTTTTTCCGAACCAAACAAATTAGGGGTAATAACATGTATTCCAAAAACTGGTAAGCCAAAACAATTTTTAAAAAACTGGCGGCCTATTAGCCTCTTCAATGTTGTATATAAATTAGCCTCAGGGTGCATTGCGGAAAGAATTAAAAAATTCTTAGATAAGCTAATACATGGGGACCAAACAGGATTTATTAAAGGTAGATTTATCGGCGAAAATATTAGATTAATATATGATATTATGCACCAAGCAGAGTCAAGAAATATACCTGGTCTCTTAATGTTTATCGACTTTGAAAAAGCATTTGATACCATTTCATGGAACTTCATAAATCAAACACTTTGTTTCTTCAATTTTGGTCAGTCAATTAGAAATTGGATAAAATGTTTCTATAATAATATAAAGTCCTGTGTTATTCAAAATGGGATAGTGTCTCAGTACTTTTACCCTGAAAGGGGTTGTAGACAAGGTGATCCTATTTCACCGTACCTTTTTTTACTTTGTGCAGAGATTCTAGGTATTTTAATTAGAAAAAATAAGGATATTAAAGGTATAACTATTGATGGTGAAGAATACAAGTTGTCACAATATGCAGATGATACATCTGTTATTTCTGATGGCTCTCCAAGCTCATTGGATGGAATTACAAGAGTGTTAGATTATTTTGCATCAATCTCGGGTCTAAAAATAAATTTTTCTAAAACTAAATTAGTCTGGATTGGAAGTAAAAAATTCTCAAAAGATGTTTTTCATCACTCAAGATGGAAGTTTGATCCCAGTACTACATCCTTTGATTTACTAGGTGTTAAGTTTTCTGTTGATTTACATGAGATGGTAGATATTAATTACAAATTAAAAATTGAAGAAATTAAAAAAACCATGTTACAATGGAAAGCTCGCAAACTTACTCCTCTTGGAAGACTGACTGTAATAAAAACATTATTAATTCCTAAACTAAATCATCTTGTCCTCACTTTACCAAACCCTAACGATGATGTCATGAGTGCTTTCGAAAAAGACTTGTATAATTTTTTATGGAATAATAAAAATCATAAAGTTAAGAAAAATGTAATTATTCAAGAGCATAAATTTGGGGGCTTGAAAATGATAGACTATCAAAATTTTGTTACTTCATTGAAATCTAGTTGGGTAAGGCGGGTTATGTGCTCAAGTGCAAAATGGGTTAAATTACTTGAAGCAGAATTGGGAATAAGTATAAATCATCTTTGGCTGTTTGGAATTGACTTTATTAAGAATCTGAGTAGTACCACGAAAAATAAGTTTTGGAAAGATGTTTTCTCTAGCTGGTGTAAAGTAAATCAGGCTAAAGCTATAGCTGATTTAAGTCCTCTCCACGAACACATATGGCATAATCCAGGAGTTACCATTGGTGGCCAGTCAATTTTCATCAAAAGTTACTTTAATTCGGGCTTTGTTTTTATCAATGATTTCTTAGATTTAAATGGAAACTTTTACAGTTTTGATTTTATTCATAATAACTTGAAGGTAAATACAAACTATGTTGAATATGCCGGACTAAGAACAGCAATTAGAAAGAGACTATCATGTTTTAAGAATTATGAAATAAAGCCAATGCCTAGACCGATGCTTCCATCCAGCCTTGAAATTTTCTTAAAGAGTAAAAAAGGGTGTAACGATATGTATAATGTTCTTATTAGAAATAAAAAGGGCAATATAACTTCAGTTATAAAATGGAGTGAAAATGGGGAAGAATTTAGTGAAAAATACTGGGAAAAAATTTTTGAGCTACCTTTCAAAACAACCCAAGAATCAAAACTTCAATGGTTACAATTCCAAATCTTACATAGAATAATTCCTACTAATTGCCATCTTTTTAAATTAAGACTTACTGATTCACCATTATGCTCCTTCTGTGAGAAGGATATTGAAACTATTGATCACTTTTTTGTTGAATGTTCTGCTGTAAAAGAAATATGGTTAGAGATTGAGGAATGGATCTTGCAAAAAGTAAACAAGTCTGTTTGTTTTGATAGACAATCAATTTTATTTGGTAAATTTTTAAACAGAAACTCCTACAAGTTAGAAAATCTACTTATTCTGATCATAAAACAATATATTTTTGCTAGTAAGTA